AGGAATTTGCTCTGGCAATAGCAAGATTTACTGCTTTTGTCATTAGATTTTATTATTAGGATATCAGTCATCATTTCTTTGTCAACAGATTTTACATATTTCAACATGACTGATGACTTGCAAGTCCAGTCAATGAGAACTCAGAGGCTTCAGCATCTTTTCTGATAATAACTTCTGGGATTTACTCTCAGGAATATAAGAAATGTTCTGCAGTATAAGCCCCATCTTTTATGCTCAATGTCAAATGTAACAGGTTTCTAATAATAGAACCATCACAACCTGTCCAGCAATTCCAGTCCTGGATTTGCCACAGAACATATCTCCTTAGGTTATAGCTAATACAGTAAACAGTGACTCTTCCTAGTGACATGGTAAAAATAGAAAGGCTTCACATGACAGGGAGTTTTCTCATCTACAACACTCTTCAGAAGGTTTTAGCAGGGGGAGTTTCAGTGACATGTTTACAATTCCTCTTACACAAATTACAACAGAACTCTGGGGGTTTCATATGGCTCTTTATAGGTATGAAGGACAACCATCTACAGGATATACAGATGCTAAGTCTTTAATTTCAGACCTCACTTATAATTGTATATTCAAAGATTTTTATTTTGTGATGGGAATATAACAGAAGAAATAGAAATGTAATGGGGGAAATAAAACTTTCCACATTATCCCTTAACTGAAAAATTTTCTTGAAAATTCTCACATTCCCTTAATTACTTCCATGAAGAGATCAAATTGTAAAAGTATCAGTTGCTTTGGGACTAGCTGTCAACAAAATAAAATAACATAATTGTAAGCTGTTGCTCAGTTTTGACTACTGGGGGCAGTAATTCTCTGGTCTAGCTGGTTACAGTGGAGTGTTCTCAACAATACTCAGTTAAGAGTAGTCTTAAGCCTCCAGAGGATTCATGTGACACCCACAGACTTAACAGGAAGGACAAGAATGATGCAGAGGTGCCAGAATTCAGAGGTCTCTGAGCTGCAATGCAAAACCTTCATGGACCCATAACCTGCAGCTGCACAGCCACAGCTCCCCAGGGACCCCAGGCTCATGCTCCCTGCTGTGCAGTGCCACCATCCCAGCCTTACCTCGGCCACCACCAGAGAAAGCTGAGGCAAGGAGACAGGTTACACTCAGCGTGCCACAGCCACAGCCCACAGGCAGGAGCAGGGCTGAGTTATGAAGTCATGACTAAAAACTCAGATCAGACACCCAAGGACAGGCAGCTGTAAACTAAACCTGCAGAGAGCTTTGCATCTGCACTGCCTGCACATCCTGGGCCAGGAGAACAGCTTGTTTGCTGTGAGCACGTGGCCAGGGACAGCCTGCAGGACACCCCAGCCTGAAGGACACCTCAGCCTCAGCTAGGCAGTGGCTCACTGCACTCATTTCCCAAGGCCAGGAGCACTCATCCCATTAACCCAAAGTCTGGTTCCTGGGCTGGGCTGGGTTTTGTGGATGGTGCTGTGGTGAACGCAGCAGAGCAGTGAGTGGAACAGAGAAATGCTGCTTCCTCCAAAAATACACACATCAATGGCACCTGCTCACAGTGTTTCTGTACATATTGCAATGTCTGCACTTAGTTTTGTCCACATGCCAAATGTGCACTATATTCAGAATACATGTACACAATTGTGCCTCCCTTTCTTTCCTGTAACACTGGGAAAATTCTGTGTCCCTGCCTCAAGGAATTGAGTGGAGAGGCATTGTAGCATATTTGAAAGACACCAATTAGAGTTATATACCAGTTTCACACTGTGTTTCAATAGGAATGTGATGTTAGCATCCAGCTTTATAACCACTGCCACTGCCTCAGTCTCTCTTTGACAGAATTTGATTTCTTCCTAAAGAAAAATGCCTGAAATGCTGACCTGAACCACATGGAGAAAATGCCAGTAGATTAAAAAATTCTGCATTTCCTTTCTATGGCTTTGGACGTACTAAAACTTTTAAATTTGTTGTAATAATCTAAGTTGGTTCATCTTTAACACAAAATCTGGATGGACATAATGCTGTACTTTACAAGCATCAGCTACATATACTAGATTTGATGCAGTACTTGCTGCTTGGTCATTCTCTTTTCGTCTGCTAGAACCTATGTGATATTTAACTCCTTAACTTTTGAGTATTCATCACAATATCACTTCATGGATTCTTACCTCTTGCTGACAGCTGCCTGCTCTTTACAGATTTTACATAAGATGTGTAGATGCAGAAATCTGCTGTGTCCCATCCATCTCTGAGTTTCAAGACAGTCTTCTCTGCTTTTGCAGCAGCTAACATTCAAAATTTTCTTTGAAAATCTTTCATCTGAAAATGTATGTTTTAAAGGTTACAGGTCATTTATCACTCTGCAGTCCAGAATTTCTTTCCAGATGTCAGAAACTACTGTGCTTTAATTATACATTCCTCTGAAAGGCCTTTTATACTATGAATTTTTCCTTTGTTTTATGGAAGTCATTTTATTGGCAAAACATATGACTAACAAAAGGGATGACTCTATGCTTACTGTAATATGAATTATTACATCACTGTTTACAGCTGAGCTTTAAAAACAATTTTCAGGCAGCTCTGGTTTTGATGACTAAAGCTTAAACCTCTTAGGGTTTTTTAACTCATTTTTTAAAGCCAGAGGTAGTGAATTTCTAATTCCTGATGCCATTTTTGTCTAGCTGGGTGTCTGTAGTTCAGGCATATGCACTAGAACTATCCATGCTTTTTTGAGCTCTCTAGCAGAAACTCATAAAACTGTAAGAAGATGTTAGAAAATTGTGAGACACTGTCTAATTTACAAACTGACATAAAGTGAGAGCAGTCCTCCTCAGCCTGCACATAGGTTAAAGCTTGCTCCTTCTGCATTAGCCCTGACTGAGAATTTGTTGCCTGAAACATTGTCTGTCTTTTAGCTGGTGCAATGAAAACTCATTTGTGCTGAAGAGCCGTGCCTCACATGATGCTTTCAGCAGGACTCTGCACAAACATTACTGCTGGAGCTCGTACAGCCCTGGCTATTCAACTGGCAGGCAGGTCTCAAGAGTTCTTTATTCCTGTCAGACACAAACCATTATAGAGCAGCATTCTCCAAGAGACAGATCTGCTTGTGGGACATATAAATACTGCTTTTCCTTCCATTGATGTCAATAGGAGCAAGGATGGAGGTATGATGTTATGAGATGCTAAGTTCTTAAAATATGTTCTGAATTATTTCTATTTTTAAGAGCTGTTTTGCTTTGGGGGATGAAAGGCCTGTTCACTTAATATGAGGAACAAGGTCTGTCTCAGAGATGTGGAAGAATATCTATTCATCCAAAAGCTTAGCTATTTCAGGAATAATCTGTAAATTATTTTTAGAGTTTGTTTAAGTGTTGTTAACTACACCTGGCAGATTTCTGGCAAATGCTTTATTGTTCCTTTAGACGTCTCCATTCCTGCAAGGAAAATTTTTGGGAGATGGGACTTGTCATTTCTCCTGTTGACACTGTTCTACTTTGTATAAATAATTACACATTCACTGGGACTGGGACTAACACCTCCACCCTCCCCAGGAGGGTTACTGAACCATCAGACTAGAGCATTGTTTTTCTCTCACCAGCTGGCTCCATGAATATTTAAGTATTTTTTACAAAGTGGGACTGTTCCAGTGAAAGGGACTGATGGTCAGGTCACTGCTGTGAGGCAGAAACCTGAATTTGCAGAGCAGAGGAGAATTCTTCTCAAACCCAGGTAGGAGTTAGATTTTGTAAGGCGTGCACTGACTTCTTCAGGAGCACTAATGCAATCCTAATTTTCTCTGTGAGATTTACACATCAATTTGTTTTGAAAACAACTTCCATTAAAAATCCTTCTTTAGCATTAAATTGAATGGTTTGCACCAAATTAAATTCAATTTAGAAACTTAATTTCATTTAGAAATATGAAAAATCATATTCAGCTCCTGTGTACTGAGATTTTCTTTCTTGTTCAAGTATTCAGTCAATTATTAGCTCATCCTAAATTAGGAAGTCTTCTAATAATATCTTGTTTACCAATATGGGCTCCACAAATTCTATGCCTTTATCAAAGGTCAGATAGATAATTTCTGCTTTCTGCTTTAAAAACTGTGAATTTTATGAAGCATACCTTGTTATCATAGAGAGAAGGGTTTCTGTGAAAGGCAGGGTAACTTGGGAATCCACAGCCAGGAAAAACTTCATTTTCCTTAACTGAGAAACTTTCAGTTTAACAAATAGACTTATATTTTAAAGGTAGTTCAAATACCAAACTAAACCAAAACAGATAAACTGGGATTAGGAGAGGAACAGGCTGCTAAACTATCCAAAATCAAATGGCAGATCAAACCCCTGATTCTTGTATTAATACAAAGTAGCCGAAGAATTTGGAAATGGACTCAAAATTGTCACAATAATCTTTGAAAAGTAAAATCAAAAGTCCTGTTGTGTTTGGATCACACCTCTGATCACTTTCTTCCAGTGAAAACCTCTTGGGTCTAACACTTGCATTAGACTTCAGCTGGAAATGGATGCTGGAGTCTTCTGCAGTACAGAAAATATAAAAGTGACACAACAGGTAAAAATTCAGAAAATAACAATCCAGGGCACATCAGAGACACAGTACACTGACTTCAGGAACTACTTAATTGAATTAATTAGATGTGCTGGACTTAACATTAAAAAGAGACAATTGAATAAGGGTATTTAAAAGGAGACTCTGCTGTTAATAATGACAGAAAATTATTAAGGAATCCACGGAGTCACACTTTTACCTGGGTAAAACCTGTAACCATGAGGTGGGCCATAACCAAGAGACAGGCCAGTAAACATTTTAGAGTGGTGTCAAGGCAGAGAGAAGTGTCAGCAGGGTTTAAGCTCCTAAGAGCCCAGAGCTTTGAAAACTTAGCTGGAAAGCTGAATGCAGAGGTGTTGTACTGCATAGACAGTACAATAATCATGACCTATTGCTTGCACTTAGGCTCCATATGAATGAGTTCTTCTCATGCCCTTTCAAGAATCTATATACCTTGCATCACATATCTACATCTGCTCCTACTTACAGCAGGAATTCCTTGCTCTTTGACACTGCACAGGATAATTATTATCAGTGCACTGCAGTACATCTGGAAAGATGAAGGAATGCTGGCTCAGCATACCTCAGGCAAAGCACTGCACCTCTTAAAGAAGGATGGATTACATAAAACAGCACAAGAGCTGCATCAGCCTTTCATGCACACTGAAAACCAGGCATAATTGCTTTGAAGTGGAAGAGTTACAGCAGTGCAGGTCTCCAACTGCAGAACAGGTAACAACAGAAATTTAAATAAATACTCACCAATCCTTGCAAATTCTCTGATTCCCTATTCAAAGATGCTTCAAATCCTCCAGAAAATGTTTTGTGGTAGAGGCAGGCAGTCTTCATTCCTTTCCTGCTGGGATTAAAATTAAATTTGGCTGTTATCTCAAGAATAAGCCCAAAGACCAGGCTTAGATTCTGGAAAGGCTTTTCTCATCTCAAAGTATCCTGTCAGTAAGTGAGTAGAAGGATTTAAACATAAAAAACTCTTTCAAAACAGTTGCCTGTGCTCAAGTGTCCACTTCCAAACTGAAGTATAGTTTACTTACTCAGCCTGGCCTTTATTTTGTTTGGTGGATATGAGAAATTTCCTCAGAGACTTTTAAAACAAAAACAGTCTGAGGCTCTTGAAAGGATTAAAACAAGCAACTCCTGGAATACAGAAAGGATAAACTGATGCTTGATTCTGGCACTGCACTTTTAATTCCTAACGTACTAAATGACTGCCATGGAGTTAGAACTGAATACAAGTTCTAGCTTGTGTTTTTATACCAAGTATAAATCTAATTTTTATACCAAGTATATATCTAATTTAGGCATATAATGCTGTTTCCATAATTATTTTCCCATGTTTAGCTTACTTTTCTGATACATTTGTAACTAAAATGACTAATATCTAGCATTAGGTCCCAGCTCCTAAAATTTCCATGTATGTTCCTTCCATTTTTTATAACTTTCCCCCTTAATGCTTTAACATTTTAATGACCTGTAATATTTTTCCATAGCAAGAAGCACTTATCTATTACTCAGATGTGTTCTTTGCAACACCATACTGAGACTGATATTGACAGTGACATTTCTTTGCATATTAAAAAACAAGGAATCTGTGAAAATCATTACCCAGCAACATAATAGATCACAGATGTGTTTAAAAAACATAATATTAGGCTAAACTCTGAATTCTGGTCTGGAACGCATGTGTGCATCTCCCAGGGCAGTAATTCAGCACTTAGAAAAAGTAAACTCACTATTGTAATGCACATGGCAAATAGCTGAGTTCCAGCCACCAGTGAAATAATTTGGCCCCAGTTTTGCATTCCATGACCCCTGTACTCTGATGGGAAGTAGGCCATAGGGACTGACTGTAATTCCTGTACTCAGAACTGCCCAGCACTGGTACAATTTATTGTTGCACAGGAACATCAGTGATGCAACACCCACGTTCTTGCCAGGGACTCTGTGCTGAATAAGGACAACTTATTGTCCTTATAGGACATAGCATGAACAGCAGGAGGAACCCAGGAAGTCTTTCTGTACCATCCATATGATGCTGTACCTGGCAGAGAATGATCTTATCAAGATATTCCCTCACAATTACTTCAGCTCTCTTGGCTTGGCCTAATCTGCCTGTTAAAGAAAGGGTATTCTCCCCATTCTGAATTTTCATCTTTGAGGAAGGAAGTCCTTCAGATGTAGGCTCCCCCAGTTTATCATTCAGATGTAGCTGTTGAGCTGCTCATTTAAGTTAGGGACTCCTTTTCAAGCCAAGAAAACAAGTGCAAGAATTATTACAGCTGATGGAAATTTGATTGTGTTCTCCCATCTCTTGTTGCACAGGCTGTCATATCATTTGCACATTTTGTAGAGTGCTTTTTCCTCATTGGCCTCTTTATGATCATTTGGAAGCAGATAGTGAGTTTTCTTAACAGTAAAAGTAAGAAACCAGGATTTTAGTTGGCTGAACAACACTTTTCTTCCTAAGAGCATTTGCAATAAATAAATTAGGTCCAACTGTTCTCCTTTTTATGTCTAGCCCTATAAATAATGTAGAGGGAAATTCAGGAAAAGTAATGAGAGCATTGGCAGGAAACAGTTTCTCACAGGGCTTAGTTCTGATTTCAAATCTGTGTTGCCAGTAACAGCAAACTAATTGCATGTGAAATTGCACTGTGAAACTCAGGTCCCAGGTATCACCTGTGCAATAGAGTATGACACCATAACACATCCAATTCACTTTAGAAATATATCTATCCTGCAACTACAGCATTCAGAAGACAGGAAAGAACAAAAGTGGGGGGGGAGGGAACTAGAAGCTAGATGCCTTAATACAAACCTACTTATTTATAGATGATGTAAAAGTCCCTCTTGAACACCAGAGAATTAAAGCACACACACAAAATACAGTTACCTTCTTTGCTTGAGGTTACAGTTTTAATTTTGACAGCATTCTTGCTGAAAGCACACTCCCAGCCTGAAAAAGACTTCTCTGGAGCACCCTTGATGCCTTTTGCAACTTTTCTTTATCTACTTCTGCACGACTAGTACCTGACAGCCTCTCACTGCCCACACTCCTGAGGGCATTCCCTGTGCCTCCAGTGTCACTTGCAGCCAGCTCGAAGGGAAGGTGGCTGTGACCATCATCAGTTTGTTACCATCAGTTGTGTCACGCAACTGCACTGGCTCCACACTCTCACTTTCTCCATTCAGGTCAGAGCTGAGTTTAACAGTGTCTAGTGGAGGTGGTGCTTTTGGCAGGGAAAGGATGGTATTGTTCAAAATATCAGCTCTTTTCATGTCTCAATCTATAGACCAGATTCTGATCTAAATCTCTAAAAATTTATTCACATACAGACATGAGTCTTGTCATTAAACAAGAACAATGGCTCCAAGGATGATTTATATACATATATATCCCTCACTAAAGTAATTCTATTTTGTATCAAGAAACAGAAAGTCTATTTTTACCATTTCAGTGCCACAATTTTCTAGCTGCTCTCCTAAAAGGACAATGCAATTAATGATCTCTAATGATCAGGTTTATCTCTAACATCCACGAAAGCTAAGGAAATCTGCTTTGTATTTTTGTTTCATAATATTATCCACTTGAAGATTTGCTGATTTAGATTACATCAAGACTGGCTAGCTGATCTGTCTTAGCTTTTCCAGCTGTCTAGATAAGAATAGCTGAATACCCTGTGACCCTTGCTGATGCCCTGCCCCGCGCTGGAGCTCAGAAGCTGACCTGCAGAGATTGAGGTACCTTGCTCCTCTCCTGTCTTCTCTGTCTGCTGCTGGAAGATTTGGCCATGGGGCTGCCTGATTCACAGGTACTTTCTGGCACTTCAGGGGCTCTGCTTTTTTTTATTTTAGGGCCCTCTACTCCATACTTTATACTCCTCTTGCTTTTACGTGTTGTCTTGGACTGTTATGTATAAAATGCATTATTAGGGACATAGCACTTGCTTAAAAATGTTTTTTTTTTTTTTAGAATCCATTCTTCTGATTGGTACTTTAGCCATTTCTACACCTGCTGCCTGAATACTGTGTGGTCACTGTAAGTGCCTGCTCTTGGTCAATAAACCCTGGGATGCTTCACTGGAAGTTGTTGAAACAATCTTTTAGGAGTCTTGTACTATGAAGGAGTATCTGCTCACATTATCAATATTTCAAGCATCCTGCTTGATATTTATTAGATCTCTTTGGTAACAGGAATGTTTGCAATTTAGCAGTAGTTATCTAATTTATAACTTTTATGTTATGATCCAAAACAGTTTAAGTAATGATAAATCAGCACCATTCTCCTTAATATTTTCTTATGCTGGCAAATAAGCAGTTGATTTTGAACAATAGAAGGTAAAACATTTTAAAAAAATTATTGGATATCAGTTTGTATTCCTATAAAGAGAGGCAAGTAGAAACTGCTATTAGACTTATCCAAACTGACAAATGGAAACAGCAGAAGGTAATTTAGAAAAGCCATACTGAAAAACTCTACTGCTTTTATGATTAATGCAGCATGTCTGCTATCTGCTAAATGCTAAAATGAAATATGAAGTTTTGAACTGTATTAAATATGACATTATTTGAGGTAAAACTAGCAAAGAGACAAAAAAAATTAATTAAAGAATGTAAGCTTAGTTCCTAATAATTTCCTAAATTCCTAAGGTGTGGGAATACTGTCAATACTACATTTACATTTGGTATCTCAGTGTCAGAAGAACCAGGGGCGGGGAGGTCTATGGCTCATAACAGACGTTTTTCATATAAAGCCAGAAACCATATTGTCATTTGATAAATGAGCCAAGAGCAAAACTTGACAGACAAAAAGAGAGAAGAGTGCATTTTTCAGCCTGGAGGCTCTGCAAGTTTTCCAGTGACAATTCTTGTGTGGATTTTTATTTCTACGATGTAGCAGATACAGTTGAAGGTGCAATATGGATAACTCTTTATCTTACAAATCTAAGCAAATTTGGGAATCCTAGGAACTGGCTGGGCATATCAGTTTGCAAGAGTCATTTTAGGTGCTTGGATTTTCAAGAAAATAGGGATAAATCCTCTCTATCACATGCTTTCCAATGCTATTATGAAAAGGGACAACTTGCAATTGCAGGAAATACCAAAGTTCTTTTGGAAGTGAAAGTATCAAGATCTTGGCACTTAAGACTGCACTGAAAGAGTTGGGGCTGTTTAGCCTGGAGAAGGCTCAAGAGCAGCCTTACTGCAGCCTTTCAATAAGTGAAGGGGACTTAACAAGGAAGATGGGGGGAAACTTTTTAATAGGGCCTGTAGAAATAGGACAAGGAGTAATGGTTTTGAACTAAAAGAGTGTAAACTCAGATAAGACATGAGGAAGGATTTTTTTTATTATGAGGGTGGCAACACCAAGAGAAGTGGTGGATGCCTCATTCCTGGAAACATTTGAGGTCAGATTGGAGGGGCTCTGAACAACCTGATCTAGCTCCTGCTCATTGCAGGGGTGTTGCATTAGATGACCTTTAAAGGTCCCTGCTAACTCAAACCATTCTATGATTCAAATGAAATAAAGAGTGATTGTTGATAGTATTGATGTAAATTTAAATTAATTTCACAGTGTCAGCTGAACAGAACTGTACAGCTGTACAGAAACACCAAGAGAGTACTGAAAGGTCTTTTGCCATGGTACAAAATGCCAAGGTATTTTGTCCAGGTGACTCTCCACAGAGAAAAGAAGATTTGGTGAGAAGCCTGAAAGCTGCAGAATAAGCTAAGCTTCATGTTCAGTCAGGTCATCAGCCCACTTTGATCGCTGTACAGCAACATTATGATTAACTTTGTCCCAGGGAAGATGGCAGGGAGAATATAGATATGGGATACATGAGGCACAGGATGTTTGCACCAACATTTACACAGTCTTTTCAAAGAAAAATCTCAGGGACAATCTGTTACACAGGGTTACATTTCAGGAAGAGATTTCCACTTTCCACTTCAGTAGCTGTCTCATTTTCAGGCAGACAAGGTCCCACTTGCCAGACATTCATTAGGAAATCTGTCTCTTGTCAGGTCTGTGTACAAAATATCTTTCTTCAGTGTCTGAAAGGGAGAAGCCCTCACCCCTGGATCACCAGCATCACTAGCTGAGCCCAGGATTGCTGGCAGCAGCTGGTGGGAGAAGAGGGGTCCCTCAGGCTGGCTTTTCTGCCAGACTGCTGCAGGAGGCAATGACACCCTGTGACACCAGGCATTTTTTATAATTAATATGGTACTAGCTCTGTAGTTCATACGTTAAATGTCTGTCACTAAAGATTCATTGTTCCAAGCCTGAAGATCTGTCACCTCAGGGACACATGACAGAAAATAGTTTTTGTTCTACCTTCAAAAAGAAACTACTGTAGAAAACTTTTGCTGTAATGTCAACCGTCAAAAGTTAGACACCTTTTGTCCACAGTAAGAAAGACACTGCTTATGGAACTCCATACTATTTTTGTCACATAACCTATGCATCATTTATGTAAAGAATACATACACAAGGCAGCATAATTAAGATTGCATGAGATTGTAAATCTGCCATCTTTTGGGTTTGAGTTTAAAACCTTCCTAGCTGAATTTATATCTACTACCTACAAACAATTCCTAACTGTGTGTTCCATGGTTTTATCCCAAAAAGACAGGGACCCTAACAGATGCTGATTGAGCAGCTTCCTGACTTCAAAAATGAAATATCATCAGTATATGAAAAGGTTTATTTTAAATGGTTCCCTGCAAGAGTAGAGGACTGGGCTTGGTGAAGAAGAAAGGTCACTCCTGTTTCTGTGTTCCTAACAGATCATAATTTAGCTGAAGATTAATGTCAATGCTAATACGTTTATTTATGGGTAACTACTTACTGGCCTTTTACTTTTCTGTTCCTTCGGCAGCCATTGATGGAAACCAGCCAGACATCTCTGGGTTAGTTCGTGGGTGAATTCTCTCTAGCAGCATCATTTATATTTGGTAAATGCAGTTTAATTTGAGAGCCTTGTTTATAGTCTGTCATTTACTACTTGTGGTATTCGTAATCTATTTAATAGTGTGCACTAAACAAGTACTTGACCACTCTAGATTGGGGGTTTAGGGAATACACATTTAGGGTGTGTTCCCAGACAGGCAGTGCCAGGGAGTGATGCTGCTGTTTTCCTGATTGGCAAAGGTGCAGGAGCTAGGCTGCATAGGCTGTGCAAGGGCTGGGAGCTTTCCCAGCAGCCCGTTCATCATCTCAATTTGCCCAACAGGCCTGAGCTGCACAGTTGCTGCACAAATTTGTAGATATGCTTGGGTGGCAATGCAGAACCTGTTAAGGTGTTAACTGCTCAGAAGTTTAAAACTACCTTTAGATGAGGCAAAATCTGCAGCAGCCACATATAAAAGGAGTCCTTGAACATGCAGTCCATGGGATCTAACAGCTTTTGTGGATAGTTTTGCCTAGAGCACAGCTCTTCAGTGGATATTAGGCCTGAAATATTCTTCTTATAAAATAGAGGGTGTTCTCTAGACTAAAAAACATTGACAGAAAGGAGCATCAAGGAACTCATGTGTCTGCGCTGTGAGGATTACACAGCTTTCTGTCATACACATTGACTTCCAGATGTACTAATTTTTATTATCATTATATTATACCTAATATAATATAATATAATATATTATACCATTATTATACCTTCATGACTACACCCAATATACCTAGTGGCAGCAGTTCAACTTCTAGCTGCTACCCAGCATCTCATTGGTCATGGTGTAAGTAAATGTCTCCTTTTTAGCTTTCTTACTTCCCATTTCTGTCACTTAAAATCAGTTCAAAGCCAGCTGCAAACTTAATCTCTGTTCTCACAATGTTATGAGCTCTGTTTCCACAGCCCCCTTCTTGTGAGCTGGACTCCCTGCCCCAACCCTGTGCCAAGTCTTGCCTAGATGTGTCCTGCTCCTTGCTCCAGTCCCACTGGGGGGATGTGGCAGCCTCTCCTCAGGGCTGCAGACCAGGCCCTCACACCTCAGCCCTGAGCACCTGGGCCTCACCACAGCCACACAGCCCCAGCCTCGGCTGCTTCTCGTCTGGCAGTGCCTCTGTGCGCACAGGAACACTGCTGGCACCTCTTACTTGCCAGCCATCTTGCAGGCTGCCTCCAAAGATCTGGGTTATTCCAACAGCAGCTGCACCTTCTCTCCCACAAAATCCCTCTTGGAAATGTAGCAAGCATGAATCCAGGCTAGTTACTGCCTCCTTCACCCAGCACTGCAGAAAGCAGAGTACAGGTATCATGACTGTTGAATTGCACCATCCACTTTCTGCTTAACCCTCAGAACATCCTCTCTAATCAAAAGCACTTCTTTGAAGTTTTGGTAGTGAGACCATCTTCTTTGTATTTTGCAGGAATAGGAATGTTAAGTGCTCAATAAATAAGCTAAAAATAAGAGAATAGGTTTATATTCTGCCATATATGCAGGAGAATTTCTGTTTAGTTCCTCGAGTATTTGTTCAATTGGCTGTGCCTGAACACGTATACAGATTTACCTCCTTCTCCTGCAAGAGGCACATATGAGAAGAAGTACTTAAAAACAGTAAGAGGAACAGGTTCTTTTTAAAGCAATACTCAGATCATAAATTATCACTTATGGATGTGATAATCTGCATGTCATTGTTCAATAGCACTAACAATGTGGTGTTTTTCAAATGTCATGTTCAATAAGAATACTGTGTTCAAAATAAGAATACTGACTTAATTTTTCATTTTTTTTCTCAGTCAAACAACTTTGGCCCAAATTCTGTAAAACACCCAAGTATTGAGTTCATCACTGCATGCTCTGCCACAGCCTTTTAAAGAGTATCCTTCACAGCCAGAGTGAAAAGGCTACTAAATGGGTCAGGATTACCCATTGGTAAACAAAACGAAGCATTTCAAGTTTACTTTAGAATTTAAATAAAGAAGAAATTTCAAAGCAGCATTACTATTTTTCAAGCTTTGGCGGAGCTGCAGACGATCGCACGGCCGGTAACACTGCGTTCATTCATGCCGGGACAAACACCCGCACTGTGCCACCCGAGGACGGCAGCGGGGCGTCGCGGGGGGCCGCGGGCTCGGCTCGGACGGGGCCGCAAAGCGCGCGGGGCCGGGGCCGCCCCGGGCCGAGCCCGCGGCCCCCGCAG